TGTGCTCTTCCGATCTGAAATTATCACGGCATTGAATGGTTCGACGGTGAAGTGAATCTCAAATACTTTACACAGCTTTTACGAGAGATTACAAGACGAACACGCTACATATATACCAGAGAACATGAAAAAGTCCTTTATTTGCGTAATCTTCTCTCCAGAAACGTTTATAATCTGGAAAGAATTTCACCGCCCTTCAAACTCTTGCCCGACGAGATGGAGAACGGACATCGCTGCTCTCATCATGGATTTCGCGCTGGCGCGAAGTTTCTTTGTGCGTTACGCAACGCTTACAAATTGAAGCATTGGCTAGCCACACGTGATAGCGACGCTTCAAGCTGTGAAAATCTGAGCTCGATCACCGAAGTGAGCGAAGAGGAAGAAGAAGAAGAAACAGACAGCGATCAAAATAGTGAAATAACCCGCAACATCGAAGCGTGGCGAAATAATGCAGTAAAAGAAGAAGACAGAAATCAGAAAGAGAACGAACAAACAAAACGCAATTTTCCATTAGTAGGAGAAAAGAACAAAGAAGAAAAGCAGCAACCGAAAAATATCACGATACCTGATATAGGTTTCACCAACGTACAATTTCCAACGCACGACGACGTCGTCTCGCCTATTATCCCACTGCGGAAATTGGCAAAAGGCAAAAACACATCTACGAGCTCAACAACGTGCGAGGTAAAGTCCGAATTTGTACAAGTTTCAATTCCTCTCAGCCGATCACCGGCGAAAAATGAATTCAGTGGAAATTTTACATGCGTTGCGTCAACTCCATGTCAGACATGCGGGCGTCTATCCTGCCGACAGAGTGCCGAGGGTGTGGACGAGGTCGACAGCCATCGTCGCTAACACTGACGATCACGACCGACCCGGGCAGCATTGGGTCGCCTTCCACGTCGGAGAGGACGGCACAGGAACGTATTTCGATAGCTATGGATTACCGCCATTGGACTCCAGATTGCTTCTGCGGCTTCGACGAAACTCCACCACGCATCGATGGAATACAACGCAACTTCAGGGAACGCTTTCTCAAACATGCGGACAATACTGCTGTGTATTTTTATATTTTATGTGCAGCGGTTATAATCTTTGTGGGTTTCTTAATCAGTTTACCGATGATTATGAACGCAACGATCGTTGGATCGTAAAATTATTTCAGAAAATTTTTCTTTGTAATAAAAAAAATGTATACGCTAAATCTCAAAATGCCGAATGCTGCCATATTCAATCATGTTCTTTGAAAAGTAAAATATAAAGGAAATACTCATTCTATGTAATAACTCGATTTTATCAATAAATATTTTGTATCTTTAATCCCTAGTTTATTTCTTTCCCCGCCTCTATTCCCGTCCTAAA